TTTTTTTTTTTTTCTTCTTTTTAAGCTGACAGAAACAGGGTTTTCTTGTAATTTGGAGTTCAAGGCTGAGCATATTTCAGCACCACGCCTGCCATTTCTCTTTGACTCTTCCCGTGCGATATTTTCTCGGCGCCCGCGGTGCGCGGCTCAGATAAAACCATCAGTTCTGCTGCTCCCCCCCCCCACCTACAACTGATGTTCTTATTAGGGCTCGGTCCATCTGTAAAACATAAATTTCCCCACCATCCGTTTGCCGAGGGGATTGGAATTACACCCCCGGTGACTCCGGTTTGACAAATTGGCCCCGTGTTAACGCGCAGCCACTTTGTCCTAAAAAGACAAAATAGGTAGGTAGGAAATAAATGAGAAAATGCCACTTGATGGATGGTCTCGCAATCCAATCGCAGCACGAGAGGGGAATCGGGGCTCCATTTAGGAAGAAAAAAAAGGAAAAGGAGAATGTAAGGATCGCAGCAGGTTGGCTGGAGCTGTAATAGCTCCAGAGCCGCCAGCCGGCATCAATAAAGTCAGCGACAGAGCTCTTGGCTCAGTCAGTCCAGGAATAAACTCCTGCTTCATTTCAGCAACCCATGTTCTCGTGCCCTCCTTTGCTGCTGACACCCCAAAATTCCTTCTAGCACGGCATTTAATTTTCCTACACTAACAAGGCGTTTAGGACTCTGAACAGCAATAGCTCTTATTGCCACCGGCTCTCCAAAGAGTGACTCATGGCCCTATTTAAAACCCTCTGGAAAAGATCGGGCTCCTCCCGCCACAAGCCTGGGTTCCTCGGTCTGGAGGCACGACCCCCCAGCCAGATCCCTGAGGAATCCTGGCTCTGGGATTCCCCTGAGCATCCCCCCCATCTCTCTTCAGATGCCATCCCCCACTTTCCCACTGCTGGCTCTGGAACGTGGAGCCGAAGCAGAGCTCTCGCCCTCTTTGCACCGCCATCCTCGGGGACTGTGTGAGGCAGAAATTGAGGATAATTTGTTCCCCTGAGTTGCTGTCCCTGCTTCTCTCAGGGTTTTGCATTAGCACTTGTTGCCATAGTACCAACAGCGGCGGCAAAGTTCTCTGGGGGCCTCCTGGGACCCATTCCTTGTCCTACGAGGGCCATGGCTCTAATTCAGGCAGGATTGAGGTGGGGAGATGTGGAATTTTCTGCCTCCTAGTCTTTGCTAAAGGTGCTGTCGGTGAGAGAGAGGCTGTTCCTTGGAAGCAGCAGCAGCAGCAGCCACATCATCTCACTGCACCAGTAACGTGGGGCTGGGCATGGGGCAGTGTGGCAAGAAAGCCAGCAGTGTGTGAGGGAGAGGAGTGGAAATGGTCCCTGATGTCCCTGGTGCCCATCAGTTCCCGGGCTTTTCCCCTTCCCCATGGGACAGCCCCATGCTGGTGATGCTGCCTTTGGCTGAAGCAGCCCCAGCCCTGACCCTGAAAACAGCTTTTCCGTGTGCCAGAGGAGAGGAATTGGACTTCCCAAGACCTTGCTCCTCACTCCTGGCGGGGTGGGGTGAGGCAGGCTGTGACCCCAGGGCCGGCTCTGCAGCCCTTGACCCACCCACACCACCGACACTCCATTTTGATGGCTTTTTGGGGACGAAGGATAATCCCTGCTCGAAAAAGCCTGAGCTTTCCTGACTTCCAAAGCGAGGCAGAACCTCACGTTTTCCAGCGTGTCTGAAAACATAAGCCTGAAAACTCCGGAAAATGGGATTAAGACAAGCCTGCCCTAGAAGGGCATTGCTAGATCTCGTTAAGCGCTTCTGAATTGTCATGCAAAAAAAGAGAGAAGCGTCGCCGCCTTGGCACAATTACCTCTGCTTTTGTACCTCGCGGGTCGCCACGCTCCACATAAGAGAGCCAACACCCTGATAACACATGGGCTCCCCAGAGCTCCCGGTGCCCGCAGCCAGATTCCGAGCGCTCCCTCGGCATCGTATCAGCACAGCTGCCACCTCGGGTGGGAACCCGCGCTGCGCCGGGTCCCTTATCACACACAGCCCGTCACGGCTCGTTTGCGACGAGTGGGTAGAATCAAACACGCTTTCATCCAGCTTCAGCCAGACAGTGGCTCCCAGGCCTCTTCGGGACACAATGTGTTTATTTTTGGCTCGGGAGGAGAGATCAGATTGCATCCATGGGTTTGATTTAACGCACAGATACAATCGGAACAGCGTGAGTAGAACGAAGGCATTTTTGGCTCCCGTTTCGGAGCCTCCCCTCAAAGCCGGTCCCTTGTTGGGGGGGGTTGTATTTCTTTGGGAAAAACTGATGGTATCAACAAGTATCAAACAATATCCTCGTTACTCGGGAAAGGTAAATGCTAATCTATGCGAGCTGAGCTCATGTGACTTATCAGTTACTATATATAGTTGTTTTCAGGCACTGATTTAGGGAATCTGGCAGGTTTCCTAAGCCTTTGTACAGACACACCAGTGAAATGGAAAAGACAAAATACACAAGCAAAGCGAGGAGGGGGGGGGGGAGAAAAAATCTGACAGGGCCAAAATGGCCCTGAGGGTGAGGGAGGACCAACCCCTCCCCACGAGCAGCCACACAACGTTAATTCCACGTGAGGATTCAGCCCAAACCCCTCTGCCTAAGATGGCCTCTCGCTCACGGTCGTCGCACTGACAGAGGGAATAAACAGAATTCAAAGGGCACAGGGACTTGTCATTCTCCTTCACTCACGAGGATGTGAAATGCTTCTCCCAGAGCAGGTATGTGAGCAGAGAAACATCCCCTCAAACCCCACGTCCGCGTGGGAAGAGACTCCTCCGTACCGGCAGTTTGTTTGCAAACATATGCACGTTTTAAAATTGGAGGCTCTGCGAGTTTGTGGTGTCTTTAAGGAAATATTCTGGGTAACACGAGCTAGGAGAAAATAGAGGGAGGAAGAAATCACTGATGCAAACCCAAATTCCTTAAAATAAGGCTTCCCCACCCGCGATCTTGAGCAGAAAAGGCACAGCCGAGCAAGATGTGCAGGGAGAAATCCTCCGGAGAGTGTTGTCCTGCACAGCCCCCCTGCCCCAAAAGCCTCCCTGCAGCTTCTGTGTGATCACCCCTGTAGATCCCATTGTGCCTCCTGCCTGAGCCGTTGGCACTGAGGAATGTGGAGGAGGAAGAGGAGCTGGCGCTGAAGGCAGCGGAGCCCCCGACCACCGCAAATGCTCCCTGCAATCCCACACCTCCCGCTCCAGGCAGCCCCTGCTCCCACGGGAAGGAAGGAGACACTTCCCCTCCATCTCAGTGAGAGGCGGATCAGCTCCTCGGGGGCTCGGCAGATAATTGCCAAGTCGCCTGCCAGAATTTCCTCCTGACAGTCACAACTTGGAAGCGTCGGAAGAAAATGTCTGCACCTGGGCTGTGGAGTCGGCGGGCTCGGGGGGCAGGGAACGGAGCCTGCACGGGGCAACGCACACCCCCCCCAGCTCCAGATGCTCCAGATGTGCGTGTGCAGAGGCGCCTTTTTGCTCTGCTTTGCCAGGAAAACCCAAAAGCTTCCTACTATCTCCCAGCCGACAGCGAGGCAGCAGGGAGGGCACGCGGGGTTCATCTCCTTTGATCCCTGCGACGACAACTCCCTCCCGCATTTCGGGCTCATCCACAGGGACTATCGAGGTTCTTGGTGTGCAGGGGGGGAAAGGGAAGGGACAAAATCCACACTGAGCCCCGGCTCTCCCTAAAGGAGAGGAGCCCGCCATCAGCGGGACAGCCCGACCCTTCGCTCCAGGGCTGGAGCCGCATCGGGGAGTCTCTTCCCCACCCACCCCGGGCTGGGTGGGGGTCTTGCTCCCACCTCAGTGCGCCGGGGAGAGTGGGGACACCCTGGGGACACCTGGGACATCCCGACCCCGAGGGACAGGGGAAACAGCAAGGGTAGGACGTGGCGTGGGTCATCCCCGCCACCCCAGGAACGGGGTTGGTGGCATCTCCTGCAATGCCAAGCCCGCCCCGCCCGTGTCCGGAGTGTCGGGGCGCTGCGGGAAGGCGGCGGTGCCCGCGGAGTTCAGCACCCGGGACAGCTCTGGCACAGCCCGCTGCGGGCGGGGGGACCAGCTCACCCCTCATCTCCCCCCCGAGCACTGCTCCCACCCGCCCCGGGCACTGATCCCCCCGGGACACTGCCCCTCCACCAGGAACACTGCCCCCGCCCCCCGGGAACTGCCCTCTCCCGGGAAACAGCATCCCTAAGGAAAACTGCCCCCCACCCCTGCCCGGAAAACCGCCCCTTTGCCCTCCCTAAAAACTTCCCATATTAAGCCCCCTCGGCCCCCGGAAAGCTGCCGGTCGCGGCCCCTGCCCGCTCCGGACCGATCGCATCCTGCACTCGCCCGCTCCGGCTCCTTTCCCTTCCCCTCCCTCGCCGGGTAAAGTGCCGGCTGTCCCGGGCTCGCTGCCCGCCGCTCCCGCTGCCCACCCCCGCACTCCCTGCCCCTGCCCCTGCCTGCCCTTCCCGGGAAAAAACCTTCCCCGGATACCCTGCGTGTCCCCCCCGCGCCAGGAGCCCCCTCGCCCCATCCAAACTTGGTGCGCGGAGTTGCGGGTGAGGGAGACACCGATTCCCGCAGCGCGGGGGGAGCCGGGCACGGGGGAGGTGGGCGAAGTTCTCGGGGGACACCCCGGGGCGCGGAGGGGCGAGGGAGGGGGCACAGCACGGCCCGAGGGGGTGCGGGGGGAGCCGCGTCTCGGCGCGCCCACCCACGGCCCGGCTCTCCGGACCGGCAAGGCGGCTTTCCCCGGGCAGACCCCACGCGTGTCCCCCGCCCCGCGGAGCCCTCCTGCCCGCCCCGGCGGGGCGAGGGTCCCGCTGCCGTCCCTCCTTTTCCCCGGCCAAGGGCTGGGCGCAGCCCCCGTGCCCCGAGGCGGCGGCAGCGCTTCCGACGGGGCGCACGGTCCCGCGGGGCTCCGCGGCCGGTCCCGCACCCGCTGCCCCGCCGCAAAGTTTCCCGGAGAAGCGGCGCCCGGCGCGGGGCTGGGGGGGCACCTACCGTGCGGCGGAGAGGAGCCGTGCCCGGCCCCGCGCCCGTGCCCGGCCCCGCATCCCTCCCGGCGCGGCGCTGGGCTCGGCTGGGCTGGCAGGGGGGGAGCCAGTCCTCGCTGCGCCCCTTTATCCCAGCATCACCGAAACGAATCCGCTTTGACGTCCAACCAGGGTTTTTATGGGTGTGGAGCGAGCCGGTGCAGCCCTCATTAGGAGACACTCCGCTCTCCAAATCATACATCTTTTATATAACCTCATTTCCAGCGTGGCTTTTCTTCCCCCTCCCTCCCCTTGCCGGGGAGCGTCGCCCACCCCCCTCCCCAACTCCCCTACCAATTAAAGAGCTGAGAGACACCCCCCGGCCCCCACTTGTTGCCGGGAGGCTCCGCTCCACTGCCCGCGGGCTCAGCTCAGTCTGCCCCGGGGGAGTGGGGGGCTCTGCCTGACCCGGGGTGCTCAGTGGTCCCCAACTCCCTGCCCAGCCGTGCTGCAGCCCCCCCAGTCCTGCTCCCAGCCAGGTTATGCTGCAGAAAAGCCCCCTCTTTCCCTGGCAACCCCCTCTGCCCGCTCAGTGCCCGGGGCTCAAAACACCAGCCCCTCCTGGATATCCCAGTGCCCCCAGCCCGGATCCAGGCAGTGCTGGGACAGCCCTGCACCTCCGCTGCTGGAGCTGAACCTGGGCTGCACACAGGGGAGAGAACAAAGGGTCTCCTCACCCCATTTCCCCTCCTGACTCTTTACCTGCCCCCAGCAAGGCCCAGTGCAGACCCAGGCTTGACATCAGTCTCCAGGCTTTGGAACTGCGCTCATTCCCATGGCAACAACAAACACACAATTATAGATATATAATATTATATAAACCAAGTGGGCTCTCGGGCAGAAGTGTGAGGTTCACCTGCTCTCAGCCTCTTCCCGAGCTCAGGAGGCAGCTCCCACCGGGGCACAGAGAGGTGGCTTCAAGCCTGGTGAAGATCCACAGCCCGTGGATGCCCGGCAGCTCCGGTGGCACCCACCCCGGGCAGCCCCACCGCCTGCCCCACTGCCTGGGCGAAGGCAGGCAAACAGCACACAGCACAGCAGGCCATTCAATCACGAAACCTCCCACAGAGAAGGGAAAACCGAGCAGCCCTTCTCCTCCAGGAACCCCGGGAGCTGTGCAGAGGTGGAGGAGGGCAGGGGACAGGCAAACGCAGCAGCAAGAGCTGGGGCTGCTTCCCCCGTTCTCCCTGCTCCTCACACTAATCACCAGAGCTGTGTGCACCGTCTGGGGCTAATGAAAACATCATTATGACTATTTAGATGCAGGAGGACTAATCTAATAGCAAGCTACCCGACGACATCTGCTCTGATCCACTGGTCAGGGAATCCTGCCCCGTGGAGGGATGAGTGGGCACACGCTGGTGAGGAAGGGCTTTGTGACCCCGTCGCAGGCTGAGAACAGTCAGTGCAGCTGAGAAAAGTCCAAACCCTTCTCCCTTCAGTGCTCAGAGCTCTGAGCACGGCCTTAGAGCTGCAGGGCTGTGTGGGCTGGTGATTATCAGGGAAGTTGGTCCCTCTCAGATGGGGGTGGGTGCAGTGTGGCTGCAGGTCCAGCTCACAGGGCCGAGGGGTGTGATGGCACCCGTGTGGTGTTCGAGGGGACTCTGTCCTGCCAAAGCCACCCTGACACACGACATGTGTTCTGGCCAGCAGCACCTCGCTGCTCCCCTGCCCTCCTGCCAGGGAGGCACATCCACCGGAGGCTGGGGAAGCAAAGCCCTGAGTGCTGGGATGAGGGTGAGCAGGGCTCCCTGTGCCACTCCGGGACATGGGTTTGGAAGTGCAGCTCACCCACCCGCCCCCCACCACCCTGCAGCAGCACCCTCGGCAGGACCGCCGCCCTCTGCACCGGCCCGGAGCTTGGGAACTGCTCATCCCTGTGCCTCGTCCTCCCAGGGCACGGCAGCACCTCCTTCACCCGCACAGAACCGAGTGGGAACACGCTCATTTTGGGATCATCTGCGGCTTTGCTGCCGCCCGTAAATCCGGGCGAGCCGGGAGCAAAGTGTCAGAACTGGAAGGGACCCGCCGGCCTGTGCTTGTCCTGTGCTCCCCCCGCGCCAGGGAGGAGCCCCAGGTAGCCTTTTTCTCCAGCTGGAAGCCATGAGTCAGCCCGGAGAGGAAGGCTTGGAGGTGCACAAACAACCGTCTGCGAACGGAGAAGGTGGAGCGAGACCCTCTCCAGCACATCTGCCCCCAGCGAGCCCGTTCCCACACAGCTCCTGGGGTGACAGCAAAGATTCGCACCTCCCTTCCTCCCGCAAAAATTGTTTGGGGACAGGATGTCCCCACAGGGAACATATTCCTGTCATCCTGCCTCGTCCTCCTCGGGCAGCAAGAGCCCCGGAGAAGCCCCTTCATGCCCAGCCCTGTCCATGGAAGTTGCTTCCCCCCTTCCCACAGCTGGGAGCAAATGCAAGCAGCGCTACCGAGCAAGTTATCCCCCAAAACTGCTCGGCAGAGGGAACGGCTTCTTCCCTGCCCCTTACACAGCTGCTCCCCGGTTCCCCCTCTCCTCTGAAAGCAGCTCAGCGCCTCTTGCCTCTGGCCATATGCTGCCAGCGGTTAGAGAAGCCAAATATAAACGCAGCAGTTAATGCTCACCCAAGTTTCCTTCCCACCCCACCCCCCTCTCAAATCCTGGCTCTTTTCCCCTCTCCTGCTGCCCTTCTCCCTCACCCACCTCTCTCTGGGGAGCCAGCGTTGCCGGGGGCTCCAGCGGGTGCGTGGCAGGGAGCTGGAGCCGGGAATGGGAGCCGGCTGCGCTGCCGGAGCTCCCAGCCCGCCGCCGGGAATGTGCCGCTCAGGATGCTCGGCTCTCTAAGATCCTTAGGAAGCCGCGGCCCCGGCACGGATCACACACACAATATCCCCGGCAGCTCCGGAGTTATTCGGCTGCTATTTCCATGCAACTCGAAATGCGTTCGAGGGATTATTGCCCGGGGACTAAAGAAACGGCTAAACATATTTATACTAAAGCTTTAGGAGCCTGTGGAACCGCACACACACACACACACACACACACACACACACACACACACACACACACAC